GGGGTGAAGCATCCCTGGATGGCAGTGTAAGGGCCATGAGCCCTTCTGTCCCGCTCGGAGGGATGACATCGCTCTGTTGTATGATTTTTGGGTTTTGCTTCTTCGGTGCATTGGTTGTCCTGCTTCCCCCACCCCCGCCAAGTGTGTGCCCTCGTGTGGCAGCTGCATAAGGAATTGAGGCTGGCAACTTCGCCGGGGGAGCTGTGAATTGTAGGACACGTGTAGGATCTTGCCACTTGGGAAATAAAAAATTCCCACAAGGAGCAGTCTTTGAACAGCTGCTTTCTAAAGGGAAATGAAAGAGAAGGGGAAAAAAAAAAAAAGGAGAAAAAAAATGCTTTGGTAAATCTGTGTGTTTTTGTGAATGCCCTTACATACATCCTGGGAGTGACAAGCACCAAAGGCACCATCCCTTCGGGTGGGTATTTTTGTCTGCAGGTTCCTGCGCTGTTACTTCATGGTCAAAATTAAGTCCCTGGGGAGGTACAGAAACCCTCTCTGCTCCTTCCCTCTGCTCTTTCCCCTTCTCTCCTTCCCCCCTTTTCTCTCCACCCTTTCTGTGGCATTCTCCGGGTGGTTTGAGGACCCCATGGGTGAGGATCAGTACCTGAGTGCCTGTCACATCTGCTCCAGCCTCTTGGTCCTCAGCTGCCCGCAGAAACCACCACTGGATTTCGAGGTACACTGAAGTGGAGCCACTTTGGAAAGCACAAGACATCTCCACATTCTGCCCTTCAGTGGCCGTGACATTTCGGGGAAACTCCGTGAATTTTGCTGTAAAACAAATGCATAACATATTGGGATCTCCTGCTACCAACTGATTGTTTATACTCTGCTTTTTGTGATAAGTTTTAAAATTGTTTCTTTTCCTCTCCATCCTGCCTTTGTCTGTTTTCTCATCTTCCCTGGTTTCTCTTACACCCTTATCTCTTCCTTTATTCACAAATCCTCTCTCTACACTCTCAGTTCTGCTCATGGGAAATGCTATAGACCCCCCTGCTTGCTCCCACGGGCTAGTGAAGTTTCACATAATTAGGTCCAAATACCCTTGGGCAGAATGCAGTATTTCAGCAGACTCACTGAGGGATTTTGTGCAAGACCAGTTTAGGAGAGGAGAAAAATTGGACTTATTTATTATATTTTGTAGGGCAGAACTGGAGACCTGTAAATTGTTAAACCTTCCACAGCCCGCTGAAGCAGCTGTTGGCATGGGCATCTCTGGGCACTCTTCTGAGGTGCATCAAATGTTCATTTCAAAGGCTTTATCTGAGTTAGTTACTTTTTCTGAGAACCTCTGCTTGCATAATCAGGGCAAAAATCAATTAATCTCCTGTTGCCCAGTCCTATCAGACACTTTCTAGACTAACCCTCACATTTGTGTCCCAGTCCTTTAACAAACAGGATCTGCCCATTTCAGTGTTGCACTACTAGGTTTTAAAGCTTAATCCTGATGGACATGGTGCAGGGTATCAGTATTTCTTTAGATATCCTTCAAGTTCCTTCTCATCCTTTCCCATAACTCACTTTAAATTGTGCAACATAATGAATCATGACAGACAAGTGAGAGGGACTACAGACAAACAATGTAGAAAATAAATGCTGTGTTTTGAGAAGAGAAAAATTTGGAAAGACCCTGCAATGTCGCTTTCTGTTATGCATTGTTACAGGTTGACTAGAGCATATTATGATGTGAAGGAAATACGATGTGAAGGAAATATTGCTGGTTGTCTCCTCCCCTCTTCCTCTCTCTATATCCAGTCTTCCTAGCCAACCTGAAATTAGTTGGATAATTTGGTAACCAGTCTTACTTCTCTTTCTCCTTACATTTGTGCCTGGCAACAGATACTTAGCAAAGCTATTAGCTTTATCTTTCACGGTCCTTTTTCTGCCCCCCCCCCTCCTCTCCCCTCCCACCAGTCAGCGATTGCTTAACACGGAGTTACACTGCCAAAAGGACTGTGCATTTTGTGTGTTCGGGGCTTGTAAGTTTGTTTTGGGGTATTTTTTTCGTGTTTATTTGTTCGTTCTCTCCCCTCCTGGTTAACGGTGCGGGGACACGGAGGGGAATACTGACAGCATCCTCCCCGATCACAGCGCCAAGCGCCAAGCCGGCAGGGAACGGCGGGCAGCGGGCAGGGAACGAG